ATGGCCATAGCAATGCAAAGATTTAACAGCCTTAAAAATCTATGGTTAAGCACCAGCAAGGAGATGAAAATTAGAATTTTGAGAGCATGCATCTTCCCTGTGGCTACATACGGATGTGAGTTGTGGACTATCTCTCAGTTCTTAAGAAATAGAATAAGAGCTTTTAAGCTGAAATGCTATAGAAAGATTCTCAGAATATCTTGGACAAAGAAGATGAGAAATATTGACATCTTAAAAGATCTGAACATTAAGGATGATTGGCTAATAAACAGCATCCCTTCTCGAAAGCAGAAATATTTTGGTCATATCAAGCGCCACGACGGATTGGAAAAAATTATAGCAGAAGGCATGGTACCAGGAAGGAGGGGCAGGGGCCGACCAACACGAAGATGGGCACAGGATATAAGCGACTCCTTGAGTGTGAAAGTGCATGAGGCAGGAGAACTGGCGAGAGACCTAGTTTCTTTCAGGCAGACTGTGATGAGAGCGACGTTCTGTAAAGGACCTGCTACATGATGATGAGAGAGACAACATATTTAAAATGAGGATCGCCAAATTGAATGTATACTCAACTCTGTTTATGTTGCAGAAACATTTACAATGAAAAAGCAATTACAAAATTGAATGTAGTCTCTGGAGATGTGGATATACAGAAAAATAAGCTGTATTTCAGGGAAACAAAAACAGTCAAATATAGAGGATCTGGAGAGACTGCAAAAAGAAGAGTTTCTGAAGGAAAAAATAGAGACATTTGAAATACTTTGGCCATGTTAAAGATACAAGACTTTTTTTTTTAAATATAGAAGAAGGAAATGGTCAAAAGCAAAAGAGCAATGATACAAGTGGGATGACAACATCATGATATGGATGAACAACAGTCTGAGAGATTGTACTACCAAGACCAGAGAAAAAGAGTGTTGGAGACCCATTGCAGCCAACCTTCACTGTGGAAACGGTACCTGATTGATTGACAGAAAGGAGATCCAATTACAGCCCACCTGAAAGAAACTATTCCCCATCATCTCCCCTGCCTCAAGCTCTTTCCTGACCAAGGTGTCTCCTACATCTTGTGACACGGTCATGCTGGTTGGACACTATCTTTCTTCAATTTCACCAGTGCTCTTCTACAAGCAAGATTACAAAACTTGAAGCACCAAGTGTTGGAAGGCTACTAACCTTTGCAGATGATGTTCTTGCATCTAGACAGGGAAGTGATAGGCAACAGATAGCCCAAGTGACTGACTGGTGTGGTGAAGTAGGTGCTGTCATCAACTCAGAAAAGTGGCTGTTTTGTGGTGCTCTCTGGACAATATAATTGTAAAAACTGATGTTCCAAGCCTCACAATTAATAACAAAACAGGCATGCTTTGTGCAGAGGGGCAAGTATCACTTCAGATGTCCCAGGTAGTTAGCATCCTTTGGATATTTTCTCCAGGTGATGCCGGTGTGTTGGGAAATGAGCAGGCAGATAGACTGGCCAGCTCTGCGCCACTTGGTGGTGAACTGATGTATGACAAGTAAGATATTGTGAGGGCCTTTTGGGAGCGAGTGAACAGTGCAGAGGCGCAGATAGATCATTACGGTCTAAGGAAAAGGGCGCTGTGAGGAGTTACCAGAGGATCTGGCCTACGTTCAACACTCAGGGGAAGGATGAGACGGATATACAATCAGATGGTTACTGGTACCAGCTGAATTAGAACTCTTAGCTTGCTGCTGAAGATGAGGACTGAGCATTTATGGGAGTGTTCCAAAAGCTGCAAAATCGATTCCTAATTCAACAATCAATAACAGTAACATAAAAAGAGAAAACAAACTGAGCTACCTAGGTATCATTTTCAATAGAAGCCTGTCCTTTAGGGATCATGTGGAGGCAGTTGCTGTGAAATGCCAAAAAGGACTCAATGCTCTGAAGATTAAGGCATCAACGGATATGGAACAAAGAATGCTGTTTACAATGTTCCAGCATGTGATCCTGCCGTGATAGATTATAATCCTGGAATGCTTACCATATCAAAGAGTCAGAGGATGAAACTTAAACGCATATCAAATGAAGCAATGCGGGTAATTCTAGGATGTAAAAGAGATACCCCGGTAGTATGTATGCAATATATACTTGCACTGCCTACTGCTGTAGATAGGCTAAAAGTCTGCAAGCAAACCCATATCTCAGAGTAGCTGCAGACAAAAACCACCTCTTGCATGAAGTTCTGGGTTCATCTAATGGTCACAGACTGAAAATAAAAAGGTCTAATAGACGTGTGTGCAGGCTTGATAAATGTGGGTGAGGAAAGGAGTGGGTCAAAGTGTCCAAGCAAGTTTCAGACATGTGTAGTGTTCTTATTCCTTTGGGTCATGAGTGGCCAGTTGGTGCTGCAGAATCAGTAGTTCAACATATGATTTATGACAATTCCAATCCAGGTGATGTGACTATACAGATGGGTCTGTACTGAGGAGTGGACGAGGTGCAAAAAGGGGGGGGGGGGGGGTTTAATAGCAAAAGCAAATGGACATCCCTTAGTAAAACAAAGTCTGGCATATGATATCACAATGTCTAGTTTGAGAATGCAGGTGGAGGCAGTCACTGCTGCCTTCCGCTAGCTTGAGAACTGTCACTGACTCACAGAGCATGATGAGAAAGGTGGAGATAGGCATGCTCCCTGCAGAGTGGCAAGCATCGCTTCAGAGGTGCTGGGTAGTTAGCATTCTTTGGATATTTTCTCCAGGTCATGCCAGTATGTTGTTAAATGAGCAGGTAGTTAGACTGGCTGGTTCTGCACCACCTGGTGGTGAATTTATATATGACAAGCTTGATGTTGTCAGAGCCCTCTGGGAGCAAGCGAACAGTGAGGCGGCACAAACAGATCCTTAGGATCCGAGGAGAATGGCACTGCTGAGAGTTACTAGAAGATCTGGCTGACACTCAACACTCTGTGGAAAGAGGGATAGAGGAAGACAGCGAGAGAAGATTCTTGAAGTCTTGTTGCATGGCATGGAAGAGTCAGCACACAAACTGATACATGCTGCAAGAGATCCCGTATTGTGGAGAGGTATGATCACCAAAGCCAATTGGCAAGGCACCTGATGATGATGATGGTGATCAGAGAGAATCATACTAATTAAAATCAAAAAGGGTTCTAAAACGAAGACGATTACAGACTTATGCTCCCTGTAATGACAGTTACAGCGAAGAACACAAAAGAATACTTCAATAAACTTTCCAACATTTAAAATTAAAATAGCGTCAGTGAAAGTGAAGATCTAATTGTGATGGGAAATTCTAATAGAAGTATAGGTACAAGAGGATCAACATGGGAAGAATGTATGGGGCCATTCAGTGATGCAGATAAGGATTGTAACAGCAACGGAGAACATCTACTTAACCTGTGTTCACAACAAAGTCTTATAGTAACAAACAGTTTTTTCAATGTCATTGCAGTCATACCAAAACTTGGTGTAAATGGGACAATTTAGACCAGGCTTCGCAGACTGATTTTATGGAGTGTTGGAGGAAGACAAAGTTAAGCTAGTTAATAGACTCAGTAGTCCTACCAAATATGAACACTGACCAGAGACCAGTTATAATTTTTTTTTTTAAAGAACACTGAATATATAAAATAGTAAATACAGATGTTATTAACTTTCTGAGCCTTCAGGATAATGTGGTTAAAGGTTAGATTAAACAAAAAATTACAGAGCTACTAAATAACTGTCCTGGCGAATATTCAGAATGGACATGTTTTAGGACAGCTATGCTCAGCACACTTTAAACCAAATGCGGTGTCAGAACCATAGGTCATGCGAGAGGTTTACAAACTATCTCTTGGAGCAATAAAGTTATAAAAGAGTGCATCAAAAAAAAAGAAGGGGGCATTAAAAAAAATGGCTTAAATCAAAATCCCATCAAGATTATGTCCATTACAGAAAAAAGAAGCAAAATGAAAAATCAAAGCGTCTAAAGACAAATCCTGGAGAAATTATTGAGAACAGATGGCTACCCTCAGCAAGAACTTCCCTAGAGAATTCTATAAACATGTAAATAATCATAGAAAGAGAGTAGGCTACAACCCAACAACTATCATCAACAACAAGAGAGGCATACCTCTATTTAGTCCACACAAGAGATCGGCAAAATATTTTCAAGTACTTGAGAAATCAAATTTTATAGCAGCAGAAGTAAGAACTTATACAGTACAGCCCAAAATACAAAGCACCAGGTCTAGATGGAAATAATATGGAAGAGATCCAAGCATGAGGAGAAGCGGGTGTTAAATGGCTAAATAGAATGTTTCATATAGCTTCAGAAGTGGAAAAGTCCCAGCTGAGTGGCAACAGGCACTGAAAGTACCTTTTTATAAAAAAAAAAAAAAAAGGTAACAGGAGAGAATGTGAAGCATACAGAGATATATCACTACTGAATCACCTAGGGAAAATGTACGTCAAATTAATAGAACAGACCCATAACTGAACAACAGTAAATACAACATAAAGATCAATACAAACAAAACCAAAACAATAAAACTTTGTACAACCCCTGGGTCTACACATACAGCTAAATGGTTTTGGTCTGAATCAAGTTATGGAAATTCAGGCTGTTAGCCACTACAAACCCTACTTCCTTAACTACGAAATAACCAGCAGTATCCACTGGCGTCGAAAGGAAAAAATGAATATGAAAAAAGCAGAGCAATTGATGAAAGATGTGTTAGCTTTCAGCAAGTCCCATAAGGAGGAAAAAATATATAACTAAATGACGTTAAAAAATCAATAAGCATACTGAACAAAACTAATACAATGATTATGTCTACAATGCTGTTGAATTAAACAACAAAAACAGAAGTTTACCAAAACTTAAAAAAGCTTTCTTTTACTGATCAGTTCATTAATAAGGAACTGAATTCCAAAGTTCTATTACACTTACACTAACATTTCCTGATAAGTAAAATGTATACAGACCAAGAAGAAATTGCACAATCTACATCAAAACTATCAAGTTGCACAAATCATTTTTTTCTCATTTTCTTCACATTTTCAGGTGCATTCTCTAACAAAGAGGGTATATGCTTAACAAGCTCTTCTGTGGTTAATTTGTATTCACTTTCCTGCCATATTTTCCGCAGTTCATTAAGTGTCCATGCAAACTTTGGACCTCTTGGCACCTCATTCTGGGTCAAGTCATGGCCAGTAATAGGAAATATAGGTAATTTCAATTTAGGAAACTCTTCAGCTACTTCCATCTGTAAAAAAAAAAAAAAAAAGAATTTAAAAAAAAAATTAAGTTGGTAATGTAGAAAAAAAAACAATTTAAATTTATAAATATATTAACAAAATAAAACAGAATTAAAGCTGGAGGGCACTAAAGAAGCAGGCTATGAGTTCGACCTCAGTGTTTCAAACCATGTGTTATCCACTAAATTATAAAATAGAAAATTTATGATGACTTGGTTACAATTAACATGAACTGGCTTTGCACTACAGGAGTTTGCTTACTGAGCCATCTTTGTATCAGTGATAATTCCAAAACACGCACAAACGTGTGTGTGTGTGTGTGAGAGAGAGAGAACAAATGTGTTTACTTTAGTGTGTGTGTGCATGTTTACGTATACATCTGCTTGCATAAACACATTTAAAATGTTTTAATCAGTGGTTTGATTATAAAAATGAAATGGACATGAAACTGCAAATACAGAAGCAAATTGATCACTTACATGACCACAGTACTTCATTAGCTCCACAATTTTATTTAGAACTTTGGTCTCTTTCACAGACCAGTCCAAGTGCAGTTTAGTGCAGTAACTCAGCAGATTCTCACCCATCCTGTCATTCCTGTGATGTACTATAAACAAGGCCAGCGAAAGCTCATCATTTGATATTTTGTTTCTCTCATGACACTTATACACCTAAAAATAAAACAAGAAAGATGACAAAGATCCTGTCAACACACACACAAAAATATAGTGAATGAAATAGCTGGGAAAAACTTCTTTTGTAAGTGCACTGGGATGGAACCCCAATATATGTTGTCAATCCTGCACCATAAATCTGTGGTGGTGATGCACAAATCTTTAAACAAACAACAAAATTTGACTGATGTGATTTGGTGAAAACTAGCAAGAAAGCAAGGGAAAGAGGTTAACATCTTGATGGCTTGGTCAAATAGATAGGGCAAGATAAGAGCACTAGCCTGATCCATGATTCTGGTAAACACCTGGGATGGTCAACCATGATTACCTTAGCTTAATTGCCCAGCACAGAATGAGACAGCTCTAATGAAGTCAGAGGACCAGCAAACCATTTTTATTTCTGCATGTTTTCTGTAAGTGGACATGCCATTTTAATCCTTTCACCCTAGTGATCTAGAAAAATCAATATTAGTGATTTGTAATTAGCGAATCCCCCCCCCCCCCCCCCCCCCCCCCCCCCCCCCCCCCCCCCCAATCTTTTGACAATAATTTCATACGGGCAACAAACAAAATCAAAACAATTCAATTTTTTTTACCAAAACAATATTACATTTGAACAGAATAACAGTAAATACGAATGCAGCAGAGAATTAACTAGGTCACATCTCTGTGAGTCTAAAAATAAACTGTTGCAGTAACTCACTTTTTTTACCCAGTTGCAGGATAACACTGTGACCATTGGGAAAATAAATGACATCATAATTTCTATTAATAAAAGTGTTGAGATGAGAACTGACAACACAGCACTCAGAATACTCCCACAAGAGCTCTGTCCCAAGCTTTAGCAACCAGTGCGAAGTTCAAATTCTGATAGTACCAATAGATGTTTGATTATATGCTTGTCTTGCCTTCTTTCTAGGTGTTGAGTGTTAGCCAGATCTCATTATCACTCCACACTTCACCATTCTCTCAAGATTGTTATGATCTATTCGTACTTCTGCACTGTTCACTTCCTTTGAAGAATGGTTACATTTTGCTACTTTAATCGCACTCTGTGATCATAACTTTGGACCTAGCTAATACTAAAAATTAGAGTTGTGTGATCAAGGTAGCTAAAGCTGATAGCTTTTTCTTTTTGTTCGTCCAAGTGAAGAAGTTGTGATGTGCCAGTGTACAGGATAGTTGCGATATTTGCTCCCTTCAGCTGACATATCCGACTTCATCTGTTATTTACTCACCAGGTTAGCCTTTCTAAGTGATAGAATCTTCCTTATCGGTAGTACTTGAAGTACATTTTTCACGATCTTTATAGTGAACTCCCTTATCTATGACATTTAAGATGTTTTGACAATGGCATCCACTCCCACAGCTGTTGAGCTGGCAATATTTTTTAGAATACTTCTGACGCTACAGGGATTTTCTAAACTGTTTTCACTGGTAAGTGAAGGTAAAGATATTTCAGAACAGTCTGATGACTGTGACTTTGATAATTCTTACTAAATGACATAACAGTTTGTGTTGAGTTGAGTTGAGTCAAGAACTGACATCACAGCACTTCCCTGCCTAAAAGCCAGAATATCATCCGTGAATGTAAATTTTCTACCAACTCCAAGTGTTTTCAGTTCCGAAGTCTTGCTCATAAACATGCTCATGTGGTAGTCATGGTGCTATAACACGTGGTTCGGAGGTCCATTAACTCAATCGGAGAGAGCTACCCGACGAAAATACAAAGCAGCTGCTATCAAGTTTCCCAACCAAGGAAAGATTTCCTACTCCATAAGGGTATCTGACTGTTGAAAGCATCTTCTAAATCAAGTGCCACTACCACTGTTTCCTGCTTGTTCTGGAAACCTTCGAAGGTGTCAAAAACAAAAATAGCTGTATTTAACCATGGATACTTCCATGGTCAGTAACTTCCCAAACCTCCTGGAGGGAGCTTTCTCTGTTCCAAAAATGCTTGTAGCTTACCCGCCACTATCTTCTCCAGCAATTTGCCAAAGTGTTTTGTTAGGTTATGATCCTAAAGCACTGTTGAAACTGAATGGATGGAATGTCACTTCGAAGTCAAGTCTTAAGTGATTGAGTTCTATCCAAGACTGCGTTGGCAGATACATCATTAGTTGTAAATACCAGTGTGACAGTTTCTGATAGTTCTGCTAAAGATATTGAGTCAAAGCCCTTAGATTATGAAGACAGTAAGTTTGAGCCTGCACATTATGAAGATAGGGCTGACTATATTGATGCAGAATCATCATCATCCTCTTACAAATCCATGGAAATTTCCCACACCCAATTGTCAGTGACTGACATTGTGATTTGTGTGGTTTTCCTGAAGTACCTCCATTTAATTAACAGTACTTCTGGTTTACTTCTGCTTGAAAAAAAAAAATGAATCACTTGATACTTTTTATATTTTTTCAGTACAGAGAATTCCGTCTTTCTTTGCTAAAGTAACTGAGGCAAATATACCTGCAAAACCATACAGCTTCTTCGCCAATAAATGTAAACATACAACACCAAATAATTTAAGAGGGTTTTTGTTGTTGTTTGATTTGATTTAAGAACCGACATCACAGCACTCTGGGCAATCCCATAAGCGATCCGTCCCCATCTTCAGCAGCCAGCAAAGAGTTCCGATACTAATGGTGCCAGTAGCTTTCTGATTAAACGTCCGTTTTGCCTTTCCTCTGAGCCTCGAGCATCTGCCAGAACCTCTCGTCACCCCCAACTGCATCAATCTCACCAGACTGGTGATCCATCTGCTCCTCCAAATTGTACACGCTCTCCCACAAGGCACTAACCACGTCTGCCCTATCATGTAGCAGTATTCCACCAAGTTGTGCAGAGCCAGCCAGCCTGTCCATTTCCCAATACACTGGCGTGACCCGGTGAAAAAATCCAGACAATACTCCTCACTTATGTCCTCCGCAGCGAAGCATGCCACTCTGCATGAAGCATACCTGTTCTGATCTTCCTCCGCATGCTTTCTGAATCAGTTACAATCACGATGTGTGTGTGTGTCGTGTTTTCTAGCCAGCGGAAAGCTGCAGTGACCGCCTCCACCTCCATTCTTATGCTGGATGTTGTGGTATCATAAGCTAAGCTTTCCTGCACCAAACGTCAACCATTAACTTTTGCTAAGAAGCCCTAAGCACTTCTTTTGCCTCTTGACACTGAACCCTCTGTGTTTGTTTGTTCTATTGCTTAAATGGGTGCTGTGAAAAAGTGAAGACACCTACTCCATGGGTACATAGCTTCATCAGTGCATATTTTCTTAGTTGGATTGCACAGTAATGTGAACAGCCTTCTCAAATACTCATAGAAATCCTTTGTGTGGGTGTGCGTATTTCAGACTACTGGAGCAGATACCTGCTCTTTTCAGTACCTCAGTGTTTGCGATCTTGCCTCTCACTCAATGCCAATTATTCTTTTTAGGCATTACATGTGAAAACTATTTAGTTGTTTCTCCTAGTGCAAATGAGATGACCAAGTTTCACTGCCATAAAACAAAGTGCTGAGAATACAAGCCTGATACAGTTTTAGTTTTAATCCTGAGCTTTCTGTTCTCCTAAACTCTTTCATCAATCTGCCCATTGTGGTTGCTGCCTTACCTATCCTGATGTTAATTTCTTGTCAATTGTTATTTACTATGGATCTCAGATAGGTAAAATAGTCAACTGTCAACACCTTGCACCATAACTTTTGTCTTCTTTTTGCTGACTGTTAGTCCAAATTCACAGCAAGCATCAGCAAATGCAGACAGTAAGCAATGAAGCTCCTCCTCCTTTTTCGCGGTAATGCCCAGGAGCTCAGGTTATAGGGACAGTAGGTTCAGGGCCTCAGGTCTGGTAGGGTTAAGAAGAAGAAATGGACTCCATCCTAACATCCCATCTGCAATATGTCCAGTACAACATGGTGATGACCTACCAGTGACCAAGGTGCCAGAATTATTTTCAACTCCTTCTACTGATGAAGAAGAGGACACTGGTGGCTTTGAACCACTGACCTCAAGCAACCCAGACTTTGAGCAAACTACATCCCCTAAATCACACTTAATAACCCTAAGTAAATTGAATGATCTTGTAAGAGATCTGAATTTACCAAAGAACAAGGCAGAGCTTTTAAGTTCCAGACTGCAACAGTGAAATTTTCTGGCAGAAGATGTTAGAATTTCTGTGTATAGGAACCGGCAGAAGCCGTCAAAGATGACTTTATTACATACCACAACATTTCTGGGCTAATGGCAGCCCTCAAAAATCAATTACAAACTGGAAGAGTGGAGGCTTTTCATTGAGTCAATCAACAGGAGTCTTGAAGCTGTTTCGTTGAACAAAGCTAATGTATCCAGCTAGTCACGCAATTCACATGAAAGAAACTTACGAAAACATTAAGCAGTTTTTGAAATATATAAACTACTAGCTGTATCTGGCCACGTGTTGCTGTGGCATAGCTTGGCTAAATGAAAATTAAAGAAAATAGAAATCGCATGTGTCTAATACAATCATTGTCTGCTCAGATATAGAGATAGTCTTTGATCCCCCCCCCCCCCCCCTACAACTAAATCCACCTACTACTCTCTCCCTCATCAAAGGTTTTTGGAAAAGAAAGACAATGGAAATCGCACGTGTCTAATATAGTTAATGTCGCAATCATTTTCTGCACAGATAGTCTGATTTTCCAACTTTAAAACACGCACCTTATATTTGTGTCTTTATATTAGTGGTCGTTTAAATGGTGTTATTAGCACAGTAACAAAAATGGTTATTTGGTTATCACATGCTAAAGCTGTTTGTATTTTTATAGGGGACGGAAGTAAAGCTACAACTGTACTTGTGAATAACAAAGTAAGTCGTAAAAAATAGAAAAGCGGAGGTAGCATTAGTAAAATATAAACAAATTAGGTAATGAGAACTTGAAAATCACGTGTAAAGCTCTTTAAGTTCTCTTAAATTTAAGTCATTACCCCCTCCCCTCCCCTCTTCCACTGACTACTGCTCTCTTCCTCTCCGAAGGATTTGAAAATCACTACCTGTCGATATTTTTGTTGTTGCTGTAACTGACATTGACATCCCTGTCCATCTGGACTAAAATGGGGAGCAGGAATTGTGATAGGTACTGAATGGGGCTAGTGTAATATTTATCACATCATCCTTCAAGTACCAGTACAACTACTACCACGACCACCACCACAGTAGCTAAAATAATGTCACTGCTATCTGTGTTACCATCGGAGTAGACAGAAAGTCGTGAGCCAGAAGATTTGGTTCTGCATGGCTAGTGCTGTCACCACAGACTGGTCAGGATAGGATGTATAATTTCACTTCCCGACAGAAGAACGCCATAACCTTACCGGCGGTCTTCACATGAGAGCACTATGGTGTAACAGCCCAACCACAACTATTACTGCTGCTGCTACTTTAAGTGGGTGGTGGTGACTTAAAGCTCTCTCAGTTACTGTGACTTAAAGCTCTCTCACCCCCCCCCCCCCCCCCCCCCCCCCCCCCCCCCCCTAAATTCACCAACAACTCTTTCCCTCATTGAAGTAGTTGGGAGAAAAAAAAAAACACTTGAAAAGCAAATGAACACAGGAAAAAAACACAATAATTAGGAAATGAAGGCCATGGTAAACAGCACAGCTTAAAATTCCAACGCAGATGAAATAACTAAATCTAAATGAAAATAAATGGAAATCTATGAAATTTCAGCATAACCATGCAATCGGAAAGTTTAAAAATGCAATCATAAGTATGCGAAATGGTCAAATTTAATTATCAAATGGTTTACCCATTTACTTTTTTTTTTTTTACAACATGGCTAGTGCTGGCACCATGACAGAGCAGATGAGGATATTATTTTAGTCCGGGGGAAAAAATTAACTACTGCGAATTCGAACCCTGGTCTCCCGCACAGGAACCCAGTGTTCTAACCATTCGACCAAGCAACAACTTAATCTGATCAACGAAAAGAGAACTTAACTATTAGAGATGTGTGTCCCTACTACTGTGTCTCGATTATAACACAACTCAAAACCGCAGGCAATTGTTTTCTCGTAGACAGATACTCCAGATATATTAATGAAACGGCACAACAATAGAAATCGCACGTGTCTAACACGGTTAATGAAGTTAATGTCGCAGTCAATGTCTGCGCCGACGTCGAGATAGTCCTTGATCGAAGGTTGTTTAAAAAAAAAAAAAAATAGAAATCATGTTTAATATGGTTATTGTGGCAAATATAGAGATAGTCTTGTTTGCTGTATACCACGACCTACTCAATGTAACTGCACGTAACTCGCCAGCGAATGGTGGAAGCCTTGCGTTCTGACTACGGCGCATGCGCAATTACTAACGTGGCTATAATTAGAAATCACTATTATGGTTTAAATTGTGGTCACCTATCTCTAACAGTGACAGGTTGAATTTCAAACCATGATGGTTCAACATCCGGTATCAAAACAAACATATCCTGAAAATTTCAGCTAAATATGTTCAGTAGTTTCCGAGTCTATAAGGGGCAAACAAATACACAAACATTCATTTTTATATATATAGACAATAAACTACAATCATCATCACTGATCACTCTGCGGTGATTTAAAAGTGGTCGCTCTTTCTGCTTCGACTACAGGGTGGATATACCAAGTACTACTGTTTTCTCTGTGAACGGGACAGCCATGGACGACATGACCAATACATGAGAAGACATTGGCCTATCAGGCGGTCATTGAAGCCTGGCAGTAAGAACGTCAAAAACGCTGCACTTAACACCAGCAAGATTTTGTTGCCACCTATGCACATTAAGCTGGGTTTCATAAAAAACTATGTTAAGGCCATGGAGAAAACAGAAGATGCTTTAAAATATTTCATCAGAAAATGTCCAAGACTCAGTGAAGTTAGAATGTTGGTCAGCAAGTTGCATGTTCTTCATTCTCATCTGGATTTCTTTTCATTATTTGTATTACTGTAATGTAAATTAGTCGTTTAAAAAACATGGAGCCAATGGGTAAATTCCATTATGATATTTGAAATCAGCATGTCAAAATCAATCAGAAATGACATTTTTAAATTCTGGTACAAACACTTTTGAAAATTTGTTGACCAGTATTATCAGATATCCTGGAGTGTGTGATTAACCCACATTTCTCTGATTATAGCCTTCTTAACCCTTTTGTTTTAGTTACTAGCCAACTTCTCAGAACACTTAACAATGTTTTTATACTGAAAACTGTAGGTTCATATACCTAGCACAAAGCACAATTTTTGCAGCACCTCCTAAAAATTTATGTAACTGAACAAACAGAAAGATGCAGCAACCACAACTGCTTTCTATTTATGCTTCTATCTTTGTACCTTAAAACAGAAAAGAAAGCTGCTGTAAATAACACATGCATATGCATCTCGGTATGCATCTTGCAGAACATTAACTACATCATTCCTGTCCATTGCAGAACCAGTCAAAGTAACCATAGTGTCAGTCAGATAATCTTTATTATGCACATGTGTGTACTTGTGAGTACTCAGCCATGATAATGCCCTTGTTACAGCTAAGGTTTTCTGGATAGCCTTATTCTAATATCTATAGTCAGAAAATCCAAGAGATTATATTGTTAAGTGGGAGCTGTCTCTGTGTATCCAAGAATATCATGCACTGCTTTGTTTTCTATTCTGCTAACGTGTCATTTCTTAAGCTATCTGCAATTATTTTCTCCTTTTTCCCCATTCCCTTCCTCATTTTCCAAATCCATGCAAAATTTCCTTGAATTTACCTCAATACCTGTATCCTTCCATGTCCAGCTTGCTCACATCTTTTAATCATAGTAGAGGCAAACTTCTACCTATCTGTAGAGGAAAACTTCTACCCACCTGTAGAGGCAAACTTCTACCCACCTGTAGAGGCAAACCTCTACCCATCTGTAGAGGCAAATCTTCTATCCATCTGTAATTCACCATATATGTCTTTAGCGACTCCTAAACCTACAAGCATGACCATCCATCTGAGCCTTTGGAGAATGAGCACTATAAAGCAAAAACTACTGTGATATCAGTTCTTTCCAATAGCTTTTGTCACTTAGTGAATCTCAAGAGAACTGTGGCTGCCACAAACGTGTGAAAAGTGTGAAATCCATGTAAATGACCACTGCTGGAGAACCCAGAGGCAGTTTCCTTCAGTTTCTCCTGATTAGTAAAATAGGATGGACATGTGAGAATTGGTCTATTCTCTTGTTATTTTATTCCAATGGAGCGCATGTGTAGCTGACTTTGTGAATTAGAATTCTGAATGCTGTCAGCGAGGGCAGACATGGTAGAAGAGACAGTGAGTCCATGGATTTTTTTTTTTTTTTTTTGGCTACCTGATGTCGGGCAGGGATGCTGGGGCAGCATGTTCCATGGAATTTTGGCCTATTATGCTGTATTGCTTAGATACTTTGCCATGTGTGCAGTGTCTCCTTAATACATATAACAAGTTTTTAAAACTGACCAAACAAACACCGTTTTTTTCCCAGCCAGTAACCTGATTTAACTGAATAAATATGAGTTAAAACCAAAAGAATTATCACCACTTCAGTTATATTAAAACTTTTATGGCAGTACTGTCGAGAAAATTACTGCTTATATTTTTTAAAGACTCTCAACGGCCAGTATGGAAACATTATCAGAATAAAGGTTTTAAAATCAACAGCGCTTGTTACAGTGAGTGTTCACTGAACAGCTAAACATTAAACTTTAGAATAAACTCCATACAATGATGCAATGATCTTGCATGATAATGCATGTCTATACAACTCTGTCCACATTTTATTTATAATTAAACACAGAAGATTTGATAGATTCAAAAAATATAAATGGTTAATCTTTGTGTTGTTCCTAGATTATCCTCTCACTGTACTGCTTTCTAGTTATTACATCTTCTCTTACCCATCACATCCAGCCTTTTGGCAACAACAACAAAAAACCATGAAAGTGGGAATCTTGGCTTCTGATTCCTGGGTCTGTCTTTTCTAACCAATGTACTGCAGGGTTGGTGGTCTCTGCCAGGTGTCCTAGGACATCCCATCTACATACTTTAGAGGGTGAAAGGGAAATCAGTGCCAGATCATAACACTATCCTCATTTAAACTATTTAGGCTAATACAGGCAATGGTTTTTAGTATATTTTTCAGCTTTTCCTCTATGCATGTTTTCCTGTGATATGTTTTAGTGTTCAAATTACCAAGGAAAATCACAAATGTATCTAATATAAATACACTTAGAAACTGCAACCTCTAGGAAACCACTCTCTCGTTGCAGGAATACACAAAAATCAACATAAAAGGTGCTCAGACTATACTTTAATAATCTGAAAGTTAATCTCATCACTGTTCCATGTTATGCAATGCAATATGATGGCCAGTTATGAAAGTAAATTTGAGTTATTCATGTGCAGCATTTTAAAGTAAATTTGCAAACTTAGATATACTGTTAAGTGAGGCCACAAACAAAAATGTCTCACTACTAATTTGTATTTGCTTTAATAAAGAAGAGCTGAAAATTCAAATAACTTACATCTGTTTCATCTTCTAATAAAGCGGTCAATCTTGTCATGTGATGATAAGGAATAGCTGCTGTTCTGTCACACACTTTGTGGAGTTCCTCAAAATTATGAGCTCTAGGCAGACCTGGGAAAGATAATGAATAAGGTAATAAACTGAGGAAAGAACAAAGAACATGATAAAATTCTATCATTATTATTTATTAAAAGTTTCAAAATTTATTCCCCATATGGCAGAATCAATTATTAGTTACAGCCTTTAACTCTGAAGACATGTCGCCCTTTAGGTAAATGTTGAATCCATCATGTCTGGATACATTGCTATTTAAAAGACATTCAAAAATTTTTCGTTTGCTAGGAAAATGAGTTTTTATGAATATGTTTTGAAAAACTAGAATTAGCTAAAGGATGTATTATTGTTTTCCAAGCATGGTGAGGCAAAAGGTTTAATTTTTCAATTTGTTTTCAATTAAATAAGTATGATAACATTTTTATGTGATTCTCCAGACCAAATGAAAAAGGAAAAGGTCTAGAACTGTCCATACTGCTGCTGTCATTGATAAATCTGAGCCAGGTAGTGACAACAGTCTTGAATGCAAGTGCCAAACCTGTTGTCAATAATATGGGTTGGGATGAAGTTGAACATTTAACAAAATATTTTAATCGGAGCCTTCCTGTTTCGAAGAGCTGCATCTGGAATTCGGTTGTTTTAAAATTTGGCACGTCACACCACAGTGGTAATAAAATCCACAGTATCTAGATTAACTGTCTCAAATAAAGACTAGCTAATACATAATTAAATAGAAAAGAAACGTGAATTTTTAGAAATGGATTGCAGTGATGCTGATCAAGTCAAAAAGTAAAGTAAGCACAACATTTCATATGTAAAAAATCTTCATTTGTCGAACATTCTTGGATAATATTTTGTTGTTTTTCTTCGGGAAGGTTTTAGCAATTGCTATAAAAAATTCAGTTCAAATTTAATGCTGTGTAATCCTCAGAAAAAAATGTCCTGAAAGAGTTAATAACTAATAGAAGACAAAATAGAGGTGAGCTTTACAATAAACAAAGCATTCTGAGTTGGCAGACCTTTATCAGCTAATAAAAATAATACTATACAAAATAGAAATTAACAAGTGAGGTCATAATAAGACATTAAAATATTTAAACATATGAAGCAAAAACAGACAAACAGAACTGGGGCAATTATGTGGTATTTAACCAGTCTAAATGAACAAAAAATTAAATACGGACAGTGGTAACTCTATATAGGTCCACGAACATAGGAAGAGGTGGGGGAAGATGTGGGTGCATTCAGATATATATATAACTGGGTACATCCACAAAAAGTAAGTACCTAACTGTGAATGTATCCACAACCAGTGAGTACCTGTTAGTCAGTGTGAATGTGGGCATATTCGCAACCAGTGAGTACCTGTTAGTCAAATGATGAGTACCTATCAGACTTGACAGGTCTAGGTACTAAAGAGATCACTGAATGTTACTGTGTGCGCATACACACACACACATATTTTTTTTAAAGACGAACAGGAGGTGATATGTTTGATGAGCAGATGTGAGATTAAGAAATAACACTTGATTATGTTGAAGTCAATAGATCTGTGATTTGCAAGCATTCATACCTATGAACTGACCAAGCCCAACATCAATCATCTGTTTGAATAGTGGTGCTGTCAATCTGCCAGTTAGTATCTTCTTCAACTCCAACCAAATGCGTTCACCGGAAACACCTGTTTAAAAAAATAATTAATAATTACAATTCTCAGATGTCAGCTATACCACTGCTTTGTATTTGTGCGTACATGTGTGAATGCAGGCTTTGGTCAATTTATAGGTATGAATGTTTGTATATCACAGATAAATTGACTACATATTCAAGAGTTATTTCTTAAAAGTTTTGTTAATGCAGCATTTCTGTGACGCTTTTTTTTTTTAGATTTCTAACCAATCTGAAATTTTAAACTGCTCATCGTAACACGCATGCATGCATACATTCGTACGCGAATGCACACATGCAAACACACACACATACATATGAGGGGAAGTGAATAAGTAAGTCATAAATGGTTGTTTTAAAAAAAAAGATGATAACTTGAAAAACATTTATTTTTACACTTACAATGTCCCTTTATTTTTTAAGTTTTCACCAACACTGATACACCTGTCCTAATGTTTTATCAGTCCTCCCAAACCTGCTGCATAGAACTACATGCTGTTTTCCAAACCACATTTTCACTTCACATTCAACTTCTGCATCATTCATAAAATGTCTCCCGCAAAGGTGGGTTTTCAGTGGACTAAAAAGGTGGAAATTGCTAGGGGCTTAGTCAGGGCTGTAAAGTTGATGTTCCAGAAGTTTCCACCCCAGACGGTTAATTTTCTCCTGTTAACTGAGCCACATGTGGCCTGGCATTGTCTTTAAAAAAAAATTAGAACTAGAAAACACTAAATAAAGAACAGATACACATATGCTGCCTTCAGGAGACCTACCTCAAACAAGACACAGCCTTTAAGATCAGAGGCTACCAGTGCTACCTCTCTGACAGAAAAGACAGAAGGAAGGGTGGAATACTAACCCTAGTCAAAAACAACATATTTGCATGCCAGACTGAAACATACATGGAAGGGGCAGAGTACCAGATTCTTAAGCTCAAAACAAAAAACACAGATTTCAAACTAATCAACTATTACTGTCTGAGCGACGGCCCTCAGGCACTGGACACAATAGTAGTAAATAAAAGAATTATAGTGTATGGAGATTTTAACAGTCACTCAGAAAGCTGGGGCTACGATCATATGGATCAGAGTGGAGAGAAACTGGAGAACTGGCAGGATGAAAACAGATTAATCCGCATAAATAAGCCAACTGACCCACCAACCCTCTACGCGAGAGCATGGCATACCACTTCTATGCCAGACCTAGCCTTTCATTCACCAGACAAATATAAAAACAGATAACAATGCAGACAAAGTAGTAGAAAAGTTCAGCAAATGTATATTGCAGACAGACCTGAAAACAATACCAAGAGGAGCATGTAAACAATTTAAAACATACTGGACTTGTGACTTAGAACAGTTGCACAATAATATGGAAACCGAAAGAAAGAAAGCCAAAATTAGACCTTGTCAAGAGCTGTTCAACAAATATCAACATGCAAAGAGCCAAGCTGCAGGCTAGAAGGGCATGTTAGCAATAAAATACAAAGTCTCTAAACTTTGAAAGAGACACAAATGTGGCAAATCAGCCATGTGCACATGTGGACTGGCACCTGAGACAACAGATCATGTCCTCCAACACTGTCCCAAATACAACATATTTAGCCAAAAGAAACATCGGTGCAAGTCAAACTTTACTAGTCGCTGAGTGAATCACAAAAGACAGTGAAGTTCATACTAGAGACAACATTGCAAATATAGATAATTTATTTCAAGCGAACAAAAGAAGAAGAAGAATTCTGTGTTCTTCTGTCAACTGTCTCTGTACCCACCTTAACAACATTCTCAAATTTCAATCGAATCGTCATGCATTATGTTCTACGCTGAACCATGTGAGCACCCTACTGCAGCTGCTAGAGTCAACTGTTAGGCGCCTGTCACCTCTAATCATCTCTTCCACCCGCTGCACGGATGCATTTGTTGCAATCTCTTGCACGGATGCATCTGTGCAATCTCAACATGACTACCAGATCAGACTAAATCAACAATGGTAGAGCGCCCCTGAGATTTTTTTTTTTTACTAAGCTTTGTACCACATTATGGGATAAATTTTTAACAGCCATGATCAAAGATGCTGGATGAACTATTGTGTGTATTGCGTGTGTAATGAAAACAGGACTGAAAGGTAGCTAGTGTGGATGGTAGTAGATGCCGTTTATGTACTTGATAAATGTCATCATCTCTTGTTGGACCTGCTAGCCAATAGTAGACATTGACTGGACCAGATTACCTGTGAAAGTTCAAACAAGAATATAACTAGATATCGTCTACTCGTTACCAACTGTGTGCATTCAGAATGTCATCTATGTCTTATATATGAAAAAACCCTAGGAACCAGTCAGCACACCGAGGGGACAATATCCCAAGTTGGGAGCTCTACAACGGTAAACCCGAGGAAAGACAGCTAAAATTTTTAAACATCGGCGCAACAGCGGAAGGTGCCAAGGACTGATAATCGTCATCCGGATACTGGGCCCATTGTACATAGAGACAGAAAACAAGCAAATAAGAGGCGAAAACCGGTGATAAAGTGAAGTTCTTGAGATCATCCCCCATTGTGAGTTGGAAGCGGGACACAGAGACAGAAAATAAGCAAATAAGAGGCGAAAACCGGTGATAAAGTGAAGTTCTTGAGATCATCCCCCATTGTGAGTTGGAAGCGGGACACAGAGACAGAAAATAAGCAAATGAGAGGCGAAAACCGGTGATAAAGTGAAGTTCTTGAGATCATCCAGTGATTAAAACAGCTGCAGCAAAACTCCAACTTAATAGCAAAGTTGGTGGTGGTTATTTCACTAACAGTGTGAATAGTCGAAGAGACAATGGAGACTGCCCTGGGTTATGCGGCACTCTGCAACGGCCTACTAAAAATGTGACAGTTGACTGACAAGTCATCCGTCGAATAGCATAACATCGCAGCAACGGTGATCCATTTAAACAACTGAAAAGGAAAAATTGTTGATTGAAGATAAGAAAGCTGTAAAAATTCAACTTCAAGTTTGAACAGTATATCTACCGATCTAGTCAGTCAAAAACAGTGGAGACGACACATGATTGACAAGTCATCAGGACAAGCGTCACTTGTACCACTTCACTGTAATTTTCAAGTCTTCACCAGAAATCGACACTGTATTTGTCAAGAATACACCGTAAACAGATCACAAGGCAGCGAGAATTCATCTGGAGTGGCGACGTTTGGACGATCAGATAGGACAAAATTGGCAATTTAACACTGTATCGACACACTACACATTGGCATCCAACACTGAAGAAACAAGGTCAGAATAACTACACGAGACAGCACGATTATCGACAGACAAAAGCAAGCATATGTGATTGACAGACTGATTGGAAAAGCTGCACACAACTTGAATGTCTGAATTTTTTTGATCACATTGGACAAATAAAGTATTTTTTTCATTTTTTAAATTATTAAAAACTTTATAAACAGTGTATATTAAATAATATTTCAAGGAACAGATACATTTTTGTGTGAACAATTGTGTACTGGTGTAAAATCATAAACAAAAGGAACATTGCAGGAACATTCTGTTAAATTAATAGTGGGTCAAAATATTAAAAAGGAATTCTATCCAATTATCCAAGGAAAATATTAAACATTTGTGGACAACTGGGAACAAGAATTTCAGTGTACATGAACGAACACTACAACATTAGACCAGAAAGTGAAAATTACTTATACATAAAAAGAATTATCCTACAGGATCTGGAGCAGATAGGACTGTGATATACTGAATTTGAAGTGCTATCAAAGACATAGCAGTGTAAATTTAGTTTACAAATATTTCTTTAACTATTTTTTTATTTATTGTTTAATATTTTATATTTAAAGGTATGTAATATTAAATAATTACCATTGATCATTATCATTAAAAGTATTATATTTACTCCAAGAATTTTGTTGTGGTAATTATTTGTGATTAAACTACAGAATTATCAACTGCCGTTAGGATAAATTTACAACTGGGTTACAATTTATTATTTATGAACTGACTGACAATAATTTCTATTGATTTTCAAAATCATTTAGAATCAATATTGATTTTTTTAAATCAAATTGAAATAATTTTAAGATTTATTATTATTATTATTATTTATTATTACTGATTAATAAGAGTCTGATAATTATTTCTTATCGTCTGGAATTATTTAGGCATTCATTAATAATAATTAAAAGGTATTTATAAATTAATTTATATTTATTTACGATAAGTTATACAGCAACGGGAAACCACCACATTATATTCCCAAGATATCTCATGAAGAAACACAGATTAAATCATACTAACGACATTATTGGAAGGACAGCATGTCCAGTTATGGACAGTCACATACATTTAATGTGTATGAATGATTGGGAGGGGTGTGGGTATGTTCTGTATCGGATACCAGCTGACCTTGCTACTACAACTGAACGCAGGGAGAGGGAAAGGGGAACTTGAAGCGATACATGTAAAGAGAGCTCCCTCAGCAGTCCATACCCAACCCCACAAAGCAAAACAATGAGACCGTAAACTGAATATCGCTGGCCCATTTACATACTGCTGGCATACATTTGAAACGACGGTAGCCAGCACGGTTCGCTGACGATCAGTTTAAACAACCTAACCGCAAAAATGTTAACTGCAAAAAGGCCGGCTGCTGAAAATAACATGAATTCTCCTTTCGTTATCTGTTATCTGTGTGCAAAGTTCAAATATTAGAGTGTAAAGTTCAAGGATTAGTGTGTGAAGTTCCAGGATTTTCATCAGTTTTAATAAAAATCCGGAGTTTTTTCCTGACCTTGAGAGAGATATTGCACTTTCCGACCTTTTTTTTTCAGGTCCACTACGAACCCTATTTAATCTCGGTTTAACCAGGTCTACCGTAAACTAAAAGGTTTAACAGGTACTCACGAGCTAATCCTCCAGCGTTGTCCTTAATGGCTGCAAGAGTTGCCTGATCATGTGCATGTGGACTATCAGCTAGCTTTCCATAAAACCTGATGAAAATAAGACAATACACATTGCAAAAAATTTAGTCTGAAAAATATAGGATTCCTCTGACCAATATGAAAGAAAATATTACAATAATCTTCACGTATTTATTAAAACTAGTTCCATCATCATTATCATCATCATCATAAACCACTTCTGGCGTTTAGCGTCGTTGGGAGGAATAATTTGCAATCCGGTGCACATTGGCTGCCACTGGCTATTGTCCAGCCATGAAGGCGTAGAGTGTCTTTAATGTTGTCGATCCATGTTTTCTGCAGCCGTCCTCTTGCTCTTGTAGCTGATCTTCTGAGATGTAGTGCTTGTGATGGTATTTGATCTTGCTGCATTCTAACGAGATGGTCAAACCACTTGATCTGCTGTTTCTCTAAGAATCTAGTAGAAGGTGTCGTTCCCACAATTAGCCTGATAGTTTCATTATTCACTCGATCTCGGATGGTTAGGTTGGCTGCTTTTCTCAGGCACCTCATCTCGCAGGTGGTGATTTTGCTTACATGGGCTTTAGATAGTGTCCATGTTTGGCACTGGTAGCTTAATGTTGGAATGAATATGCTATTAATAATCTGTCTCTTTGCACTCATGGTTATGCTTGGATGCCTTAATAATGGTGACAATTGGTATATAAGTACACTTGCTTTCTGATATCTGGTTTCTATTTCTTTGTCAATTCTACCATCTTTTGTGATCATACCTCCTAGATATTTAAACTCCCTAACTTGATTCAGGGCAGAACCATTCAGCTATATGAGTAGTAGGGTTCTACTAACTTGCATTGTTTCGGTTTTGTTTACATTGATCTTCATGTTGTATTTACTGCATGCTGAGTTTAACTAGTTATTATTATAATTCTTTATACTGGCTGTGACACACACACACACACACACACACATATATATATACATACATACATATATACATACATACATACATACATACATACATACATACATACATACACACACATACATATATATATATACATATATACATATATATATATATATACATACATATATTACATACATACATACATACATACATACATACATACATACATACATATACATACATACATATACATACATACATACATACATACATACATACATACATATATACATACATATACATACATATATATATAAATGGATATATATATATAAATATATATATATATATATATATATATATATATATATATATATATATATATATATATATATATATATATATATATATATATATATATATATATATATATATATATATATATATATATATATATATATATATACATATATACATATTCATACATATATATATATATATACTAGCTGTACCCGGCCACGCGTTGCTGTGGCATAGTTTGGCTAAATGGAAATGAAAGAAAATAGAAAACGCACGTGTCTAATACAATCATTGTCTGCTCAGATATAGAGATAGTCTTTGATCCCCGCCCACCACAACTAAATCCACCTACTACTATCTCCCTCATCAAAGGTTTTTGGAAAAGAAAGAAAATGGAAATCGCACGTGTCTAATACAGTTAATGTCGCAATCATTCTCTGCACGGATATAGCGATAGTCTGGTTTTCCAACTTTAGAACACGCACCTTATAATTGTGTCTTTATATTAGTGGTCGTTTAAATGGTGTTATTAGCACAGTAACAAAAATGGTTATTTGGTTATCACATGCTAAAGCTGTTTGTATTTTTATAGGGGACGGAAGTAAAGCTACAACTGTACTTGTGAATAACAAAGTAAGTCATAAAAAATAGAAAAGCCGGAGGTAGCGTTAGTAAAATATAAACAAATTAGGTAATGAGAATTTGAAAATCAACTGTAAAACTTTCTCTTAAATTTAAACCCTCTCCCCTCTTCCACCGAATACTGCTCTCTCCCTCTTCGAAGGATTTGAAAATCACTACCTGGCGAAATTTTGTTGTTGCTGTAACTGACATTGACATCCCTGTCCATCTGGACTAAAATGGGGAGCAGGAATTGTAAAAGGTAGTGAATAGGGCTAGTGTAATATTTACCACATCATCCTTCAAGTACCAGTACAACTACTAAAATAATGTCACTGCTATCTGTGTTACCATCGGAGTAGACAGAGAATCGTGAGCCAGAAGATTTTGTTCCGCATGGCTAGTGCTGTCGCCACAGACTGGTCAGGTTAGGATGTATAATTTCACTTGCCGACAGAAGAACGCCATAACTTTACCGGCGGTCTTCACATGAGAGCACTATGGTGTAACAGTCCTGGTGTAACAACTATTATGCTGCTGCTGCTGCTACTTTAAGTGGGTAAAGCAGTTACTGTGACTTCAAGCTCTCTCAGTTAATAGTTCCCCCCCCCCCCCCCCCCAAATTCACCGACAACTCTTTCCCTCATTGAAGTAGTTGGGAGAAAAAAAAAACACTTGAAAAGCAAACGAACACAGGAAAAAAAAAACACCATATTAGGAAATGAACGCCATTGTAAACAGCACAGCTTAAAATTCCAACACAGATGAAATAACTAAAATCTAAATGAAAGTAAATAAAAATCTATAAAATTTCAGCGTAACCATGCAATCGGAAAGTTTAACAATGCAATCATAAGTATGCGAAATGGTCAAATTATATATATAATTTTTATATATATATATATATATATATATATATATATATATATATATATATATATATATATATATATATATATATATACATATACATATATCTATATATATATATATATATATATATATATATATATTATATATATAATATAATATATATATACATACATATATACATACATATATATATATACCATAATATATATATATAAATATATATATATATATATATATAGAGAGACAACAGAGAGAGAGAGAGAGAGAAACAGACAGCGAGGGAGAGAGAGAGCAAACTGTTTTCAAAGGGTCATAAATTTGGCACACAGGGCTAACATTTGGCTCTTACAGACATGGAGGGAGGGAGAGATATATATATATATATATAGACTGCAATCACATCACTTTGGACAAATGATGAAGAAAAATTTGAATTGGAAAATATATTAATTTAAGAAAATGAATGAACATCAGAAAAAATGTTTAGAAATATAACAAACATCAGAAGTGATGAACTTCGGGGGGAAAAATGAATGCCAGAAAGGTGATTAGATTCAGAATTGTACTGAATTTCAGAAAAAATTATGAACATCAGAAAATAATTCAGAACAGTAAAGCATTTCTTATCCCATGTTTACTAACTGTAAACTCCAGCGGAAAGTTCTGGTTGTCATCCATCTCAGAACTTATAGTCTTGTTCCAGAACCTGAGAGTTGCCTGCACTTCCATTTTACAAATCTGGCTTATTTAAATGCAGATTGTTGATTCTTCACCTCTGGGGTAGATGCACTCCAATTTCAAAGCATATCCTAAATTAGTCAACTTCTATGACGTG